ATATATATATATATATATCTTGAATTGTAGAGCTTCCAAGGTTTTAAAGAAGTGAAGAATTGGTGAGTTCTCATAACCTCCGAGGACTACCACCACTATGTTCCTTTATGTTAGACTTTTATGGGACATGTCATAGATAGTTTTTGAACATATGTTACCAGTTTTATCAAATTATTCTACATTATGTTTTGAAAAAAAGTACTAATTTTGCTACTTTTCTTATATATGCAATGTACGATGTCTAAGGGGTTTTAACATACCTCCGAGAGGTCAAATACACTGTGTTGCGACCCAAGGGTTTCCCTACATTCTACAGTATACTTGTGGTTGATGAAAATTTAGTTACCCATTCTAGAATGTTCAAAATTCATAATATTAAATGAAGAAATTGTGAACTTACATAATAGTAAGAAGAAACCAAGAAATACAACTTTAAATTACCGCATTTACCTTCTCTGCTCCTCCGCTCACATGTTTCAATACCAATCCTAGCTCATTTCTCATCTGCGCCATCTCTTCACAAATCTTATCTGAAGCAGGGTTGTTTGTATAGTGAACCACAAAGGTTTTTCTGACACTGTCCAACTTTCTTGTTCTCCAAGCCTTGTTGTTACGTGATATCTTCTCCAACTTCACTACAATCTCAGCATATGTGCATTCTCCATAGGAACCACCCACAGTAGTATCAAACACTACTTTGTTGTTATCATCTTGAACTCACAAGATGTACTCTTTTAGTGACTTGTCATTAATGTGGTGGTTTGGGACGCCTCTCACTAACGCAAAAAACCTGTCCCAAGAGCTACTCACAGACTCCCTAGGTGATTCCACAAAGTTGTTCACCTTATCCTTGTGGTTGAGATTCTTGGACTCTTGATAGTAACTAGCAAAGAACACAACTCTCAACTAATTCCAAGTGTAGATGGACTTGTAGGGTACCTCAGTAAACCATATGGCGGCATATCTTGACAGTGATAGAGGAAACACTCGCAACCCAATCATATTAATATCTAAATATGTTATACCCATGCAACTTTTGAACAGAGACCTCAGTTTAACAATATGGGCATGTGCGTCCTCCGATAGCACTCACAAGAATAATCCCCTTGCGGTGAGTATCTGCATCAAGCTAATCGTAACTGCGAATGTGTGTCCACGTGGCAGAGGGGTAGGACAAGAGGTCCATCATAATATGCATCGTTCACATTGCCCCTATTGTAATCCTGAAATCATTGGGCTGCTTGAGACTGCATTCTCACACCCTCTCTCGGTTGGTTCTCAACTCATGCCATATTGTGTGCCTAAACTTGTAATGGAGGATGCTAGCCTTCTCCATCACCCAAATTTACTTTGTTTGGGTTAGCAAGGATATATTGATTCTCCATTGTTCTTATGGTTTGATTAAGTTCGGGATCAAATGGAATGACATGTTCTCCCCGGCTCCGTGTAATTGGGATACAATAGAGCTAGTCCTGAAAGAAACGGAAATAAAAAGAAAAACTAAAATTACGAAATCGTTGACTAAATTTCAATAATGTAATTTAAAGTTAGTCTAAAAGACAGAGTCAAGGCAGCTGCGCCAAAATA